TCGATCAATTAAGGCGTGCACGAAAGAAGAAGACAACACAAACGAAACCCTACCATATTTTCCCTATCTGAAATATCTATGCGCAATACCTGTAAATAGGGGTTATGGGCTCCCTCAGTCCATGACATAGCCAGGTCTGCAACAGATCATCCTTAAGAAGGGTGACAACAAAGCTACCTTTATGATCTCTTTTAAAGGGCATGCTAAATATACAATTCATCATGCCATCTGATATTGAAGGACTTGAAGAAAGTGACGTGTTCCAGATGGTAGAGAGCAATGCCTACTTTGAGGCGTATCGTCACGTGGTTAAGGGTCTACAACGGATTTTCCCGGATTATGTACCTTTTCAGGTACGGATGGTCCTTCATCCTCGAGTTTCCTTAAATATAGGGCGCCTTCGGGTAAGTATCGTAAAACGTGAATCAAAGTATTGAATCAGAATAGAGGCAAATATTAGGTTTTAAATAAACCTACTAAAACTGTCAGAGGTACCAGAAGTCGCCACATGTTTTGCATCTGATAGGTTTAGGGGGCAAAACTATGACATTACTAACGCAATCGTTAACTACTTACATTCAATTTAAAACTAGTACACTTTCCTAATTTTGTTCCTGTATGTGGAGACTGAGTACAACTTGGTGCACTAAAGCACAGCGGCGCGTGGACTTTAGCTGTTTGTAGTAGCTGCCTTTAGGCGATTTATCTCAGGTTGAACGGAACATTTCAGCTAGGCAAATCAGTCAATTGGGTAGTTGTACAGAGCGATGGCCCATATCAAGGGCGAAACATGTGGGTAACTCTCTCAGAAACTTCCTTGATATTTCTATGTTGTTATGCACCAACAGGAGTACATTGTGAATTGCCAAGAACAAGTCGAGCCTTCTGTTTACTTGAGAAGTATACCACAGGGACAAATCACCTTTGATCTTACTCTCATTGTAAAAAAAAGTGAGAAAAACTACTTTTAAAAGGTATGAGGTGAAAGTAGCCAAAAAAACCGAAAGTTGTGCGTATTGGCCGTAAAAACGTTGTGTATAAATCGTCTGCAATATTCGTGATATATATGCTAACTACGAATCAAAATCGACAGCGGTATCATTTGTTTCAATTCTACACCTCCCGAAGCGTAAAGCTACTTTTATAAAGTTCTAAGAATCCTTTGTGGCCACGGTCGTCTACTAATACTTAAAAACATAGTTCTCCTTCGTAACATAGGAGTTCGGGACCTCTCTAACTAGAAAGAAACTTTTCATATGTAAAGCGTTCCGATTCTGAACCTGGATTCATGGCCATCTGCAGAAGATCTGGGTCTTGATGACTTTCAGTACAGAGCTCTTCAAATGGCGCTCACCAAAGAGTTTGCGATCATTCAAGGTCCACCGGGTACTGGAAAGACATTCATTGGGTTGAAGGTATGTTTTGTTTCTCCTTTTAGATTTAAGAAAGCTGTCACTGTAGGAAACCAATTGTTTATTTGGAACATTGTAAAGATATTAACGACCCTTTATCATTCTATTTGTTTCTCAAAGATCACCAAAGTTTTGTTGCACAACAATAGCAAGTGGGACTCAGATGAAGTGAGATCTTGGTACTGGTCTCTACAGTCTTTGACTCATCACCCAACTCTAGTACACAAACCACGCGCTTGACCAGTTTCTAGAGGGAATCCATCAGTTTCATCCAAAGGGAATTGTGCGGATTGGAGGTCGGAGTCAAAATGAGACCCTGAAGCCGTGCAGTCCGTCGGAGTTGAAACAAAAAATAAGCAAATCATACTCGATGAGGTATAATAACCAGCAACTGTCAAAAATATTCTTATGACAATTTGCGCCCGAAATAACCCACTTTTTTATTGAAAGGATCTCAATGACCAAAAGGGGTTCAGGGTTTAACTTTTCTTTACAATAATCTAATTCCATTATTATGGAACACGAATAGGAGATGTTTAGTTAGCTTTTTGCCTCTCAGTAAAGCTTGTTCATCGTTGAAAAGCTCCTAAGTTACTTTAAAATCATCCCCAGGCAGGCTATTGTTGAAATGATTTGTAAGTTTTTCCCGAAGTAATACTTGGTATTTGCTGTTACCGAGAAACTAAAGTTCTTATCAGCATATACAGTACACTGGTTTATTCAAGGAAAAGAAGATTTTAAGGAGTACTTGCATTGTCACTAATTTATGTCTTAGAATATCAGTCATTGGAGATTATTTGAGGCTGCAACATTTTCAATTTATGCCACCATGCGCCACCTTGTAGAAACGATAGCAAACACCTCTGATAAATATCCGTCATTTTAATTCATCCCGTTAATTTCAATGCATTACCATTTGGTTTACAGGAGAAAAAAGTTCCTCAACATATCAGAAAAAGGTTACACGAAGCTCATACGATAATGGAAGACACTGAGTCGATATCG